TTGTTGGGTTTTTCTCTGTATCTATGAAGCGCCTTGAGGCGACTTTTGTTGTGATTTGGCGCTATATAAATAAAATTGAATTGAATTGAATTGAATTGTTTTCTGTGCTTACATACCATAAATATGTCCTGCAGAGCTGTTTGGTGTCCACTATCAGGCTGGTGATGGGGAACCTTTAAATTCTGCTGCTGCTCTTCTCTGTGGAAATGTTAGAAAAAACAGGATACATTTCATACACAGTATATTCTAAAAATATCAAATGATAATCAAATTTTCATCCTTACGTTGAGCCTTTAAATTTAATTTCGCGGTTGATGGAGCCGCTGGATGTCACAGTCAGACGTGTGGTTACACAAGGATCAAATGTCTGCTTGTTATTTGGTCTTGAAACATAAAACAAGACACATTATAAGCAGAGGTTTATAGAAGCTTCTAGAAACGACAGAAAGAAATGTAGTTTTCAGTCAAAGCTCACGTTTTGTCAGAGAATGGCATCTGAGAGATGGGAGTGTAAATGTTCATGACCCGTTCTCTATTCAGGGATTCAGACATCCAACCCGGTTCAGGATCAGCTCCAGGTCCGGCAGAGTCTGGTCCAACCTGCTGCTTTACCCTTAAACGCAACACACAGAGCTCAGAGCACGAATCGTGACGATGAAGATTCAGTTCCAACAGTTACTTCAAAGTGCTTAATGTTGTACAGGAAAGATGCTGGGATATTTTAAAGAAACTCCAACACTCATTGACAGTGAATCCAAGCTGGTTCATTAAGAAGCTGCAGCTCTGCTTCCTGGTCTCAACTAGGAAGCAGTTTGGGGGGTTTGATAAATTTGACCAGATTTCTAGAAATGAGAGCTAATCCATCCAAAGTGGGATGGATGCCGTCTCTCCTAATAAGACCAGGTATCCTCCAGAAAGTTTCTCAACTATCTAGACAGCCAGCAATGTAAGGAGAACATGCAGCTTCATATGTCACAGGGGACCAGAGAAAACTACAGAGTCCGACATTGTTCTGGGAAAGTTACACACCGATTCAATATTGATTTTGTGATGGGAGAGCTGAGCTGTGACCTGGAGAAGAGTCCTGACAGTTAGAGACGGTCCTCTCACCTCTGAGCCTTGATCTGGCTCTCATGTTCCCCACACAGAGTGGATTCAGAGTTAGGGACTCCCTCCTTTCTGTGCTCACACTGATCCACAGAAGAGAACACACCTTCACACAGACACAACAACACGCTCAGTCAGCACAACAACATTTATAGTTCAGACTGTGTTGCTGTGTATACCAAGACTAGCTGCACAAAATGGAAGTCATATGATATATCATTTCTTTCTTAAGAATGGTGTTTGCTCTCGTGTGGAGCAGCAGACAAGTAAGCTGCACGACAGAATAAAGAAAATCCTCACCACCCAGATTCAGGTCCACGTCCATTACAGAGTTGTTCTATCTTCACCTTTAGAGGAAACACAGAGAGAAGCTGCTTTAACCCGAGGACTCTTACATTCTAATAATCACCATCAGAGCCGGTCAGACTGCAGGTCAGTAAAACCTTCATACTACAAAGAGCAGAGCCCAGCTGCTTCAGTATGAGCTTAATTTGTGCAAACAGTGATGTCATCATGGTTTAAGGTGCAGTAATACTAAAAAAACATGTTTTTTTTGTTTTTCCATCAGTGCATTTTGAATTATGAGGTTGTGTTCTTCATAACTTCTGTCAGGAAAAGAAAACATCCAAATAACATTTGTAGATGATTTTGTTGCTACAGTTTGTTTATGATGATGATTTTCTAAAACAATTAAGTTTGCTGAAGGTTTTTAGAGAGCAGTCTTCATGTATCATTCAGCCTGGTTTACAGAAGACATGGTGAAAACTAATAAATTTTCTCTGTTTATGGTATTTATGATTTAATAAAAATGCTAAAAAGATAACTTTATAAAAAGCGTTGATTCAAATTTATCATCAACATGAAACATGAAGCATTTCTCACATGGCAACAAGTCCATGGAAATGTTCAGAGTTTTATAAAACACTTCAGATATCTGCATAAAAACTTTATAAACCTGAACATGAACACATTTGATTAAACATTAAAATCCTTCCTGCTGAGATTAATCATTTTATATTCAATGGTCCTGTTTGATTCTTTTCTCCTGGCTGCAGGTGAGTCGTGATCTGTTAATCAGTGATAAATGTCAACAATATTTTTGTAGCTCCATGTAAAGAACTTTGAACCTTACTGTTGCTCAGTAACACCACCTGCCAGGTAAAAGTTAAAGTCTCACAATCGTTAACAATAAACATCTCACTTTGTGTAACTTTGCTCAGCTTGGTGTTAAAATACTAAAAATGTTTGAACTGATCAAATGATCATAATGAACACCGAACAAAATAAATCTGCAGGTTGATTTTGTTAGGTTTTGTGTTCAGAGTTAAAGTACGTTACCTTCTGATGGAGAAAATAATCTACATGAAGCTTAAGTGAATCCACAACTTCAACGGGAAACATGCAGAGAGCAGGAGATTCACACACAGTCTCAGCTCTCTGGATTTATCTGCAAACTGAAGTCTTCCTTAAGGAAACCTGAAAACTGCACCATGACCCTTGGAATAAAGAGCAGAAGTCACGTACACACAGCACGAGTCCTTATCAGCTGCATCATAAAGTTCTGATAGTACAAAAAAAAAAAGCGCAAAGAAGGCTTTTATTAAGCAGCACGCACACACACACACACACACACACACACACACACACCTCAGTCTGAAAACAACGCAGCATATACTAAAAACATTCACTAACCATCACATCATGTTGAGTCCATAAACCCACTAGAAAAAACAGCCATTAGAACGATGTCAGGCTCAAGCCACTTCTGCAATACCTGCACTTGTTATGTGTTGAGCATGAACAAAATTACAATACGTCATGAGTCTCTGTGGTCTCAGTGTAGTTCTGGCTGCAGTCAGTAGATGGCACTGCTACACAACCTCTACACCATTACCTACAGGCAGCACTGCAGGACTAAACTCAAATAAAAACAGTGAAACTGGAAACATTTCTTTATGAGACTGGAAACACAAACTGGCAACAAACCAGCTCATATCCACCCATCCATCATCCACCAATAAATCCATCCATCCATCCATCTATCCATCCATCCATCCATCCATCCATCCATCCATCCATCCATCCATATACCTATCATCTATCATCCATCCATCCGTTCTACCACGCATCATCCATCCATAGATTTCATTATCTGAAGTCATGGATGCAGCAGTCTGCACAGAGGTGCAAAGACTCCAACATCTCCCTGAAGCATTGAGGTATTGCCAAGGCAGCAGAGAAGAGTAAGCTTATCAGTCTCAGGCTGTCATGTCCCAAGTGAAAATGGCAGAAACGCTTTTGTTATGGGGGACTATGAGGACCTTTCATAGTCTCGTAGCTCTTTTTTATTTAACTTCATGAAAATGTGAAACAAGTGTTCAGTAATCAGTACTTAAAAAGTCAGCGGTGGTGTTCACAGGTTGCTTTTAATTGTTGAAGTAGTTAAACATATCTACAAAGTAAATATCCTTATTTGATGCTTTACATTATAAAAGTTTGGCATTCATGACATTGACATCATAAAAACATTATTTCACAGACGGTTCTGTTCCAAGCTTCATGTTACAGAAACATTAATAACAGGGTTAAATTTTATATGTTGTCTTGTGTCTGCCAAGACTGGGAGAAAATACCTGCTGCATTTTTGTATGATAAGAGCAGCGTAATGTGTTCTTAATTACGTGAGATCTATCTCTGTTTATCTCAGCAGGTGTAAGAAGGTCCTGTGTGAGTAATCAAAGATGTTTTACTGCCTCATTCAGGAGAAAAACACCTGAAACTGTTTCATCCGTCATTCAACAGTTTGAGCTTGAGGAGAGCAGGCTTTCATTTTTACAGTGTTGAGAGAGTATAGCAGGAAACAAGCCGAGATCAAACATCAATCATCATCAGAGAGTTGATGGCCTTTAAATAACCAAGGCTTCAGACAGGTGATTAAAACCTCCCTGTGATTGGTCATCATGACATTCTAGTATCTCCTACCTGTCAGTCAAAGCACCCACACCCTGAATGCTAACTTAAGGTTGTTATGAAGGAGTAAGTTAGCTCTTAAAATGAACACTTAAAAATAGATTTTAATTCCACAAGAAATTTAATTTAATACTCTTTGAAAAGTTGTGTTGGTCAAACATTAACAGAAAAGCCAGAAACAGTGGCTCCTAGAGCTGCTTATTAATTACACGATTATGTGATTGGATTCTAACTTTTGGCTTTACTTACAGCCCCTTTAATGATCACTGGTTAATTAGCATGCTCTGTACACAGACTCTGCAAAAGTCTTTATGCTTTAATAGCCACAATTTATACAAGAAGTTCTGGTTCTCCGTTAAAACCTCCTCCACATGTTGCCTGGGACATTAAACACATGAACATAATCATAAACTGTAGTGAAAGTATACATGTGGTTGGAAAAGGTTTAACACAATGTGCTGTAGATGAAAAATGTTGTTAATCAGCCACATTTTTGTGTTCAACACCAACATTTTTTACATTCTCCACCTGGCTGCTTCACCTGCCTAAAGTCAGAGGTTAGAGAAGGATTGCAGGTAATGAAAGATGAGTGAAGGGGAAGATGTATACATGGCCTACACCCACATCCATCACCTCAGCCTCCACACATTCACATTCCCGTGGACTCATACTACAAGGTTCACTTCCTGCTGCACTGACAGTAAAGAGACAGACTAATAACTCCTGTAAGATAAGATACAACAAGACCTGCTTTATTGCTCCTGAGAGGGAATTTGTCAGAAACGCACGAATAACAAACTGTTTCATACCTAATAAACTGATAAAAAGTACCTTAAATAAACTTCTCATTGTTACCTGTCAACATAAAATTCCTGGATTTAACTTTTAATATAAAATGATTGTTGTATTATTATTGTATTAACAGCAGATTCAATATCATTTTATTTATATAGTGTCAAATCAAATCAAAGAACTTTATGTTGCAAGCTAAAGACCCTTCAATTATATTACCCGCACCCCATGAGAAAGTGTTTTGCAACAGTGGGAAGGAAAAACTCCCTTTTAACAGGAAAAAACCTCTGGGTTTTTTAGGGGTGAGGGGAGGAAGACGGGACAAAGACACGCTATGGAAGAGAGCCACAGATTAATAATGACTAATGATTTAAATGCAAAGAGGTGTATTATCACACAGTGAGCGAAGAAAGAGCAGGAGAGCAGAATTATCATAATGTCCTATAGTTCTGACATGAAAGATTTTTCTCTAATTTCATAACACTATTTAAAACCACTCACTTTGTCTCAGCAGTGAACCGTAAAGTTTAGTAAACTGAAAACAAAACAAAATTATGACTCTATGTTTCTGTCTCACCCCAACCAGTCGCGACGGATGGCCGCCCCTCCCTGAGCCTGGTTCTGCTGGAGGTTTCTTACTGTTAAAAGGGAGTTTTTCCTTCCCACTGTTGCCAAAGTCCTTGCTCATGGGGGTCATATGATTGTTGGATTTTTCTCTGTATATATTACTGTAGGTTCTACAATAATACATACAGTCGCCTTGAAGCGACTGTTGTTGTGATATATAAATAAAACTGAAATGAATTGCTAAATAATCTTGCTTGTTGGTGTTTTATATCCTCTCTTTCCAGTCTTTATGCTAAAGTAGGCCAACTTTGACATATACACATGAAATATTCATGTGGACATTTTGCTGTAATTAGATTAAACATTCATAGTCTAATGGTCACTTTATGGATTTTGTTTGAGTCTTCCTGCCACTTAGTGGTGAAATCTCTTAAAGCAGGCACTTAAGAGGAGAAGTTTTAACCTTAACCCCAAACATAACATCCTCTGTTATTTTCTCAAATTTCTTTGTTGCCTGAAGATGTTTCATTTCTGTTCATGGCTATAACCTGACCATTAGTTGAACTCACAGGTCCTCAGGTGTCAAAGGTCACTGCCTGTCATACACAGCTGCAGCTTACAGAGACATGTGTGTTTAAATGATTATTCATTGTTCTTCATGTGTATAGAAGAGCATCATAAAGGGTAAACATTTCTCTTTTACAGTCACATGTGTTTGCATCACTTCTCAGGTTTGCTTTAACATGATGGAGGAATAAGTACTGCAGTGTGGTTTCATGCAATCACATGAAATAAAGGACAAAGAGAGTCTACAAAAGTATAAAGATATATGTTATTATTCACATTCAGGCATCCATATTGAAAACTCTAACATTACAACTCGAGTGAGTACACCACTGTGCAATATCACTACAATATGTTACAATATGCATGTTTCTATGTACTGAGTATCTACTGCCATGAATTTTCAAATACTTGATAGGTGTAGGTACCATGAAGTATCTACTGTTTTTGCATTTTAAAATCATAGGCATTACAGCCTCAGAGAGAGCCAACAGTGAGCAGCACTTTCTGAGAGTGGAGAGAAGAAACTTCCTTAAACAGGAAGTGACAGGCTGTGGTGATTTCATGTGGGGTGCAGCTGCCACGACCAACCACAAAAACGGGAGTGAAGTAAAAGATGTCGGCAGATTATATTCATATGTGAATCTCTGTGGGTCGACCAGAACACCTGCCCAGCCTGAATCCCCACA